ACATACATACATACATACATACATACATACATACATACATACATACATACATACACACATACATACATACATACATACATACATACATAGATGCTCGTATTATTTAGAAAATTTAAAACTTGCCTTGGTTGTGTCTAGATTAACATGCTGACCGACCTTCTAACCTGCAGATAAATATTTGACTTTTAATTGAACCTTTTATTATAATTTTCCTTGTCGTTTGGCTCGACGTTATTTTATTTAAATCTTTGCTTGTCGTTTGGGTGTTTTTCTGTTCTTTCTTTCCTTAGTTTCGGCAGTTTAATCTTGTCTTCCTTTATATTGGTTACGGTTCGGCCGAGATTACAAAAACAAATGTTTTTCGGGGGTTTTTTTATAATGATAGAAGCAAAACAACACGATTGAATCTTCTCAACAAAGGTGTTTCGGGTCGTGGCCGTTTGTGCCAAAGTATAACACTACAGCACATTTACTTCCTGGATAAAAAAAGTCTCAGGTACACAAGCTTAATCCATGTCGGCTGGCGCTTTGCAACTTTGACAAAATCTTTTCTTAAAGTGAAGGGCACCTTCAGAGTAACATGTGTTAATGTGTGAGTGTGTGTGTGAGTGTGTGTGTGCGTGTGTGTGTATGTGTGTGTATGTGTGTGTGTCAAAGTATAATTATTTGATTCTATCTATATTTATGTACCTCTCTCTCTCTTTCTCTCTCTCTCTCTCTCTCTCTCTCTCTCTCTCTCTCTCTCTCTTTGTTTCTTTCTTCCTGTGTGTGTGTGTATATAATATACACATATTTCTATATATGTGTGTGTGTTTGTGTGTGTGTTTGTGTGTGTGTGCGTGTGCGTGTGCGTGTGCGCATGTATCTATGAGCGTGTGCGCGCGCGCGCGCGTGTGTGTGTGTGTGTGTGTGTGTATGCACGTGTGTGTACATGCGTGCGTGTCTGCACAAACTTGAAGTTTAGAACTTTCAGAGTACAAAAGATTACTTGAACCCTCACTCTCAAAGAAGTAGGGCCTAAAGAAAGGGGGGGGGGTTTGTTTGGGGCTTTTTTAGAGGGGGGGGGGCATGGCGATAGAGACATTTGAAAACAGTCTAAGGCCGTCATTAGACTAGACTGCCAAATAGAGTGAAGATTTGCTCCAAAAGCATTGCGACAAACGAATTCAAACACTGCTGCTCAGCTAAAAATCGATTTTTGTTGTTCCACTCTTCCCCCCTCCCCTTCTATTCCAGCACCCACACCAACCCTATCCAACTAGGAAACCTTATAAGTAATTAATTGTAAAATGAGCACGGGTAGGAATGATCATATAAAAAACATTTTCGATTTATTACGAGACAGGCGGGGGGATAATAAAAAATTTTTTTTAATATATGGGCTTCACCATGGAATCGTTACCCGCCTTCCAAAGCAAGATCAAAGAATGAAACACCACGGAGTGGCTAACCAAGTATGTCACTGATAGGGTAACCAAACAATACACCCCCACCTCCACATCCTC